CAATTATCATATGGTTTCACTTATTTGTGGAACATAAGGAATAGCATGGAGGACATTAGGAGAAGGAAAGGAAAAATGAAGGGGGGGGAAATCAGAGGGAGAGATGAACCATGAGAGATTATGGACTCTGAGAAACAAACAGGGTTTTAGAGGGGAGGGGGATGGGAGGATGGGTTAGCCCTGTAATGGGTATTAAGGAGGTCACGTACTGCACGGAACACTGGGTGTTATAGCAAAACAATGGATCGTGGATCACCACATCAAAAACTAATGATGTATTGTATGGTGACTAACATAACATAATATAAACAAACAAACAAGATGGACAAAGGTATGTTTGGAAAATATTTACATTTCAAATGCTCTTGAAGAAGTGTACCTCAAAACGTTATCTGACCTTCCAGGCTGAGATGTGGACTCTTTTGTGCCCCTCCTGGCTACCTCTGGAGAAAAGGACTTGGCCCCCTGACATGGCCTGCCACACTCCACCCCCTGTGCATGGGGATTTGGGAGCAGAAGATGTAGTGCCCAGTTTAAGAACCTACTCATGATGTAGAAACATGCTTGCCTGTACACATTACTCTGGACACTCCTTCCAGCCACCAGTCAGAGCTCTGTTCTGTTGTCACCTGAGTACCTAATACCAGAAATGCTTCTCAACCAGACCCTGGGGAGCTGAAATGTCCTCACTTTAGGTGAGAAGACAGATAAGGTCAATCCCAGCATCAGAGGGCCAGGAGACACTGACCAGGACGCGGTTATTCCTAACAAGCACTTGGCCCTGGAACTCTCAGCACTGGTCTAGCAAGACAGAGAATGTCATTCCCTTCCAGTGCCCACTGTGAGCTGCGACAGAACGGTTCTACAGAGGCAATATTGCTCATCCTTCAAAAGGCGGAAAATGAGACCTAGGCCAGGTTAACCAGAGAGATCAACCTTTCTGAGCACGTTTCCCCACCTGCCTGCCTACCTCAGAGTGCAGTCTGACAGGCCAGGCAAGCACTGCATGGGAAGTGATTTAGGAAGATTACCGTGTGTGGGAGAGAACTTTGGAACTGTATGGCAGGAATGCAGGCTACCAATATATTGTCGTCCTAACTAAAACAGGGTAGGTTTAGGGTAACTGGACAATTTTTTCCCTAGAATGTAATGCTCAGTTGAGATCATCATCTTAGTGCACAAAAGCTATCTGGGCTCACAGTTTGCACATATTTTAGACATTCTTGGTGCTGTTAA